CGGCATAAGTAACGTGCATGCCACAAGCAGCACAACGTGGTAACGATGCCGAGCCTTCGTTGCGGATACACAGGGTATGGTCCGGGTGCTTCCGCATAAAATGCTGCCGCATGCCATTCATTGACGCAGGCTGTTGAGGTGTATCACGTCCAGTCAGCTCAAACTTGACCCGTCTCAAACATGGTTCAATCGCGTTTTCACATTCCGTCATCAGCTTCTTGTTCTCTCCTGCATCGTCCATGCGGATGTAGTGTACTGGGGTGCCTCTGCGATCCATCACTCGAATGAAGTTCTTGACCTTGAGGATGACATCGCGTTTGGTCTGAATGATCCTACTCCATCGCATACTGGTGGCATCATCAATAATCGCTAGCCAATACTTTCCTCCCTTGGTAGACGTGCCTTCGGCCACAGACGAGGTATCTATAAATATTCGTTCTCCAGGGATCTCTGATGTCGTTGAAGTCTCCTTGGCTACGGGCGCTTGCTTTGCTCGTCCTGCTCCACAGTGAGAACATGGTTCTAATGTCCCTGTGAGCTTCCACCCGTACTGATGTGCTGTCCTGCGTAGTGCGGCTTCACTCGCATGTCCCAGCTTCTTGTGGAGGTCGTTGATTTTCCAGTACTTCACCTTGCTTGGCTGTTCCGACTTGGGCGTATCCGCAGTGTCACTTGGCGAAGTCTCTTCAGTCGCCTCCAGTGCCGTGTCATCCGTGCACGCGTAACTGCTCTCTTGTGGCATGTCCTGTGGAAAGAGATCAATGCCGCAAAGATATCCGTCTTTGGTTGAGTTAATTTTATCAAAGACTATTCGTTGGTTGCGTTGCGTCAAGACAATCTTGGTTCCTTTATTCGAGATGCTCCAACCCTTCTGGATTGCCTTGACCAAACTAAATAAACATACACCCAGGTTGGGGACATACTTGTAATCCGACAGTGTCAAGTCATACGTCGTGCCATCACGTTGCATTGCCGTTAACTTGATCGTGCCTTTCTTTACTGCTCGGATCTTGTCTCCACTTCCAACCTTGATTCCTTCATCAATTTCTTCCACATCAGTCATTCCATCGTCCACATTGCCCATATGAGTTGATGCACCACTGTCTGCAATCCATGTGCTCCGGCTGAAACCTTCTCCTGACCTCATGGTGAACACATACTCATCTGCTTCTTTCATTACCTTGTACATCTGCCAGCGCTTCTTCCTTGCCTGTCGAACCTTCCGACTGCCACGCTTTAACTGAGCCACATTACGCGGCGCTGTGGGAAGTATGGTAACTGACGGATGATCACCTGCAGTCCTGTCTGCACGTTGGCGTCCACAAAGTGACTCACTTGTCCTTGTGTGACTAGGCCAGCATTTATTAGCATGTCGATGCCGGGGGAGTTCTCGATCACGATCGGTGCCAGTCCATCTCGTTGGTACTGAAAAGTTGATGCGTCCAATCCTTGTAGTAACGTGGAATCGTGTGATGCCATCGGTAGGGTGATCACTCCTGCAAAGTTCAAACGCACTTGCCAATAGTTTTGTCCGATCTTCTGCCATCCAGGTCCGTCCTTGGTATACTGACCCAACATAAACATCAAAAGCCCTTCCCACTTTCGTTCGCGGTGGCTCGCGCCTAGAATAGTTTGAGGGATGAGCTCGTCTCTGATGCCTACCAGTCGCCTGGACTGTGTCGTCCACTCCCAACAAGCATATGTCAGCAGCTCGCCCATTGGCTTTGCGACGTTGTTGTTCACGGTAAATGCGATCGGCTGCGACCCTTGGGATACCATAGTTCCGTAGGATAGAGTTCGCACTCGAAAATCTTCCTCTCCGAGTATCATACTCTGGGGTAATCCTTCCTTCTGCACGTGTTTGATTGCCTCGTTGCGCCATGCTTCTGCTTGTCTGCTCACGAGCAAGCTGACCAAAATCAAGCGCTTCCACCGCACGATAACTGGCCATGGGTTGTTCGTACCCGCTTCCTCCAGTAATGGCATATCCACGTGCACCTTCCAATCCCGATTGTATTGAGCCTGTGCGACCATCTCCGTTGCATACTTCACTTCTATTTCGGGAATGCTGAATGCCGTGAACCCGAAGATTCCTGCGCTTCCTGTTCCTTCGCCGACGTTTTGTCCGCGCTTTATCTTGCACGTTAACATAGCTCCTGCGATAGTTGTCGTGTCTGGAGTCCAATCGCGAAAGAGCAACAAACTGCTGACCCAACCTAGCAGTTCCGCCTGGAGCTCCACGAGATGGGGGTTGTTCGATATCTCGTGTGGTACCGCCTTCAGCATCCATTTGAACTGTTCGAAGTCCCCGACCAGTTGCTGCATCTCTGCGCTCGAGTGTGCTTCCCATACGTACTGGGGGATTATTTGGCATACTTCTTCCGCGATCTTCTTCCACTCTACACTTGTTATGTATGAATCGTCCAATTCCCATCCTTCGGTTGCTCGGTTCATGGGATGTCGGTTGCTCAATGGAATTGGATGTTTGCTGATCTTCATCATGTGTCGACTCCAACCTCGGTAGAGCTGCGCCTCTAGCACATTCCGGGCATCTTGGAATCTGTTCGACATCTTCTTCTTCTTCGTCGTCTTCGCTCAAACAGCTGTAGTAGTTGTCGTCTTCGTAGATTGTGGGCGAATTTGACGTTCGTTGTTTCTCCTCCTTCTCAGAAACTTCTTTGTTGTAGCCGTTTTGCTTTAAATCGTGGAGTGTTTCGCTGTCGGAATCTGCCCTGCTCTCTGTTTCGCAGGACAGAAAGGTAACGTCTGGGTTCTTGTTGTATGTGACTGATTCTTCTTTAGTCAGTCGTTGTTGTTCTTCTTGGAGAGATTTAAGGGCGTCCATCGCCTCATAAGTTAATTGCTCCAAGCTTTCTCCATCTTCATCCACGTCATCTCCGCTTTCAAAATCGTCCCAGAATGCGTCCCATTCTTTGCCTTCATATTCCGATGCTTCTTCTACTCCTCCTGTTTCATCGTCTGACAACTCTACTCCTCGGCATGGCATGCATATTTCATCGCTCATCATCATGAATGCCATCTCTTCCGTTGTTTCTTGTGCTGTGTTCGCTCCTTCTGCGTTTCGTTGTTCCGCTTTGAGTTTTAGGCAATCTGATTTCCTGTGTCCAATCTTGCCACAGTGGAAGCACTTTCCGCTGAACTTCTTCTTTCCTTGAAATCCGCCACTGCTCCCATTGTTCCTGTTGAATTTACCGTTTGTCTTTCCTTGGTACCTTTGTCCGTAGCTTCTTCCGTTCGAGCCTTTCTTGTCTGGGCAGTCTTGTTGCTTGTGTCCGATCTTCCCACAGTTCCTGCATCTGCCCTTGAACTGTTTTCCTCCAATCATGAAAGCTGTTTCGCCACTGTGGTCTGTCGACTTGTTCCGTGCCTTAATCTCATCGTAGATTTCGCATAAGTCATTCACCACACTCTTTACCGTTATTCCATGTCCTGTTGTCTTGATCCTTCTCAGAACATTCTTCTTCACTTCATGATACACTCCGAGTTCTCCTTCCTTCTTCGGCATCTTCTCGAGAAGGTCCTTGATGTACTCTTCGTCCGATATCTTGAACCCGTCCTTCGCTAGCTTCTTGCGTTTCACGTCGAGTCCAATCTCGAACTTCTTTGGGTTCTCCTTGATGTCCATCTTTATCGCGTAGTATTCCGTTCGTCGAGCTGCCACTTCACCACTGTCTTCAGCGTCATAGAGGTCCAGCATGGACTCCCACATGCCCTTGAATTTCCCAGCAGCATGGTCAGTCGTTTGGTGTGAGGCCAGTAGGTCAAAGGCGACTTGCCTTCGATGGTCTCCACATTGATTGAGTCCAGCAGTATTCCAGCAGCCTTGCTGTTCTTCTTCTGCAAACTCTCGACCTTTTCCACTTCGTCATCCGACAACTTGCCTGCACCTGTAGGGTTTTCCCAGTTGTCCGGCTTGATCTCCGTAGAGTCCTTCATCAGTTCTACGTACCCATACTTTGATAAATGGGCCATCATCTTGACCTTGTAGAACCTGAACTTCTCATCTTTCCCATCGAAGATGGGATACTTGCTCGACGATGATACCTCTACCTCCGTAGGCATCTTGACTTACTTCTCTAACACTTCTCTTTTCTGTTTGACAACCTGGATCCAAGCTCACTCTTTCCTGATAGCTAACGTTTTAAAACGTGTTGAAAAGGTGTGAACTTGAACGCACAATTTCTCTAATTTAATCAATATCCTTCCAGCTCTACTGTCTAGTAGACTGGCTATTCGTTTCGTTTTCTCTTTCTCTCTCGTTCAGATTGTGAGCTCTACAACTGAGCTCCGATATGCATACATATACCAGGATCTTTCGATCCTCTGCTTCTCGCAGTTTCATTTGCAGATAGATCTCATCGATCTATCTTCCTGAAGTGCACGGTTGGCCCTGGAGGGCTTTCCCACTTTACTAAACCTATAGACCTTCATCCGTCCATTCATTTGCTCTGTCCCATCGCTCCTTGCATTCGTCTCTTCGACCTAACTTCCTAACCTTTGTAGTTGCATCATCTAGACGACCATTGTCCTCGTTCCTCGTACACCTGGCCATCTGATGATGATCGGATAACCATCTGATTTGAGTCACACATCCCCAATCACGAACCGTGACTGCGGATCCCGAGTCGTCTGTCTGTCATACGAAAATACCTTTCTAACAAATACATGCATGTACCGGTAGCCGCAGTTGACGATATTATGTAAACAAAACTACAATGCAGGTCGAAGAATCAAGCACACACTAGCTACTAGGCTGGCAAAGTCCTACGATTTGCTGCGTGTCGTCTTTCAATTTTATGAAGCCCCCGATTGATTGACGGTATCAACCTCGAATGGTTTTCACCAAGGGACAATCGGTATACCACCGGCTATTCAACAATCCCATGGTACGTGCAATAGTAGCAACTGCGTTTGCAAACCATTCCAAGAGCTGTTTCAAGTAGCCGTTTGACATGCTTCCACTGTTCAAAGCCAACATGTTAAGCCCAAACCCCGTCGTCGCTTTCCTCATCCGACGCTTCCTCGGCCGGACAAGCGGCTGTCTCCAGTTCTTCAAAGCCAAATAATGTGCCGACTTGGAAGATTCCCCGCACAACTGGCACAAAGCCAACCAGAGGTCCCTCCAGATGTCCTCGTAGATTGGAACTGATCACAATCGGGGCTCGATCATTGATGGTGATTGACAGCGTACCATTGTCTCCATTGCTCGACGTCAAGTCCAGAGCCATGATAATGTGATGACTTCCAATACCAAAAATGGTGTCGGGGCCAAGTTGAGTGCATACTCCATCGGACCAACTAGTTCCATTGTCGCCCATGATGCCAAACCGCCGCCCCTTGCACTCAGATTCTGACCATCGCGTCGTTGTTTTGATAATCCCAAGCCAACTGTTTGAGCCCAAATTCTGGCTGTCGAACTTTTTGTTGAACTCCCATTGATACTTTCCGCCCAACAAAAAAGGACCAATGCAGAAAAGAAGCGTATTAAGCCGAGCCTCGGCCTCGGGACGGGGATCAACCTGGTACCAGAGGAACTTCTGAGTCTCTGGTTGGACAAATCCAAGCCCTTCATCCTTCCACATGATCATGGCCTCTTCTTGACGACCTTCTTTGGTTTCATTGGGCGTTGATGGGTTGCTCTCGCACCAAGCAGGGAGCACGCGGAAAACTGCCTCGCTTCGCCAAGCATGATTCTTCCAAAGACTGTTGTCCTGAATCACTGCCTTCAGTGTGATGGCATCAATGCCCCCAAGAACCACTTTGTTGAGTACATCAGAGCGTACATCATCAAATATTTCAATTGCCTGAGTTGTTAACTCCTCCGAAATCACTGGCCCCACTTGTTTGGATGCAGCCAAAATGGCAAAGGCTAAGGCATGGCTTTCGGTCAGGAGAGTAGAGAGGCAAGTCTGTGTCTTTTGGCAAAGCCCTGGCAATCCAAAGTACACGGCGGCCTCTGTCAATGACACCAAGGAGTGGAATTTCGACTCCATGAATTCTGGGGTGATTTCGATTTCCGCGTCAGATGGTGGCGAATTGGTCATCTTGTTCAAAAAACTGGGATTGTCCGTGTAAATGTACTCCACAATGGCCTTCAGAAGTGTGCTGGAAAATGCAATGGACACAATGTCTTGCTTGGTTTCCTTGAAGTTTTCATTCTCAAACATGACGGCAAAGAAAGGACTGCGAACGGACAAGGCAATGCGACTCGCCCGAATCAGTTCTCCATTGTCATTGCCTCGGAGAGACACATCACAGTACTTTTCATCTGCCAACGTGGCAAAGGCTGCACTGAGAGGAACCTCCTCTTGAATTTCGGGATGCCAAGCTGTGATAGACATGGTTGTACTGTATCAATTGCAGCCCCGGGGCTGCATTGCAGCCCCTTCGGGGCTGCAATACTAGTCTTCTGCTGCTTCATGGCCAAGTGTGGGAGGTGCTAGGTGCACTGGGTATTGTGGTGGTCAAGGTGCTTTACTAGGGGCCACCATTCCTGCTGTGGCTAGCGGCCTCCGTCGCCACCCTCGGGCCCTTGGGCATAAGGGAGGGAATGTAATGAGGGTGGGAAATGTAGTCGGTGGAGTGTCGGATTCGGTGGAATTTGTGAGCGCTGTGGAGCACGCTGGCCAGGACGGCCAGGGAGAGGTGCGAGGGGTGTTTGGGAGAAACGGGACGAAGCCGGCTGGTTGGTTAGGAATCGAGGTCGAGCTCGGCGTCGTGATCTTGGATCGGCACCGTTTCGGTAGGGAGGAATGTGTAGGTGCCATTGTGGAACATGGCATTGGCAAAGTGTTTCATGATGGGCTGAGCTTGCAAGTGGAGGTACCGCATCATAGCATCACTGTGCCATCGACCGAGCATTCGGATGAGGTCGGTGTCGACTTTTCCGCACAGGAGTGCCATAGCGCCTCCAGCTCGGAGAGATCTGGCACTGATGTCGGAGGCAGGAATGCCAGTCTGGTGGAAGGTTAACGTGGCGGCGATTCGAAGGACGTCGGTCACGTCTTTGGCAGTGACTGGGATTCGTTTGTTGTTGCGATAGTAGGACGCCAGTGGGGTGTCTGGTGTCGCACGTGGTTGATTGCTGGCAGTTCGTTGTCGGCGGTGGTAGAGAACAAGTCGCGCCGTGGCTGTGACTGGGCAACAGAGGTGGTGCCCACTACGTCCGTGGGTAAGAACCTCATTCATGTGCCCATTCTTCTGGGTGGTAAAAGTGTAGGCAACGGCCGTGGCAGCTTCAAGTTCTGATGCTGGGGCCGTCATGGTTTGTAGCCGACGAGGGCCCAAGTAGAGCGCCACGTATTCTAAAACGAAAGGGGTGTCATCTGTGACTGTGCCTGTATACTCTCCGGGACGGAGGAGAAAGTAGAAGGCGATCACGATGATGTTGGCGAGGACCTTGCGGTCCTCGTGTGTATTGTCGTGGCTGTAAGCTTGCATAAGAATATGCATAATCACGGTGATGGGAAGGGGCTTCACTCGTTTGGGTGGAGCATCCTTCCGTTTGTAGGAACGGAGCTGCCGCTGGATTCGGAAGTCTATTCTTCCGGTTGCATCGCGATGCAAGTCTTTGGTCCCCAGCCTGGCAAACGTCTGGCCCACGGCACGTAGGGCGTCCTCCACTGTTCTAGATCTAACAGTGTTGCCGCTGGGGGCCAGTCGGCCGTCTCTGTATCGTTCTCCAAAGACTTGGAGGATGGGCACCGGATCTTGGAAGGACCGGAGGAATGGGTCGGTGTTGTGGTCGATGCAGAAGGCATCCCATCGCTTCCAATGTTGATCCAGGGCTTTGGCACGTTTAGTAGTGACGCCGGATCGGACCGCTTCTTGGACAGTGCCAAGATCAATGCCGAACGCATCTGAGGCCGAAGGTGGCATAGTGTCCAGGAGTTGCTCTGTGGAAAGAGAGTGTTGAAGTGAGTGACAAGTTGCGCATCAGTTATGTCCCATGCTCGCGAGCAGATGTCTGCCATTTTGTTGACAGGCCCCGGTATGTAGTCGTGGAGTGGGAGATATCGATGGTGCCGTTGGTGAAGCGATTGCAGCCGTAGTAGGTATGCTGCAGGCCCCGTGGTGGTGGTGGACCCTTTGCGCTGCCAGAAAACAGCAGGGGTGTTGTCGTAGCAGTTGTGTGTGGTGTGCTCGCGCACGTCCGCTGCTTGTGCTAGGATGTCCGCCTGTGCCACTGAACCTGCCAGCTCCAAGTCGCTGTTGGTCACGGTGCCATTCGGGTTGGCGAATGACACGAGGTTCCGTTCGATCTGTTTGTTGAATTTTGCTCGCCACAGGACTGGTATGACGCCTTCGGAAGAGGGCACGAAGTGGACGCCACCCATTCCCTTTCCAGAGGCGTCACAAGCTCCGCGAGTGGATGGGTTGTTGTGTGGCACCACCTCTCCCAGCCGCGTTGGGCGCTGGTTGATGCTAGCTGCCAACCAGCGAAAGTCGGCAAGGAAATCGTGGACCTGCTGCGTGAGTCGCAACCGATGGCCCCCTGGTTCTTGCCGGACGGAAGGCTTCTTGCAGCGTGCAGAACAACCCCCTGGCTCCGGGAATGGGGTGTAAAATACTCGTTAGTTTAACAAACTATGGCCAGGAGTGGCTTTTTGACGCGGGCAATTGGTGGGGAAGCCCCACCTAGCTGAGTCGTCATCTCTTATTTGCCCAATCAACATGGCCTCATCCACTGGCCCAACGTGGAGCCAGCACCAAGTAGACAGATGCCTGGGTAGGGGGGTGAGCATTGATAGGGAACCTGCAGCGCAAAACCTGGGTTACAGGGGCTTACACAGGATTTTTGTCGGTATTGAAACCATTATCAACCATAAGGGACAGTGAGGACCAGTTAGATTCCCAGACCAAAGAGTGCTCGCCAGTAAGTGTGTCTGGGTGATCAGGTCCCAAGCTGTGGCAAGGGCCTTGGCATGCAAGGCAAGATGCCAGCAGAGCCCGTAGGAGGTGGTCTCCTCAGGCTGGACCAGAGCAGGGTGTAACCATCCAATGCACAAAAATTTTAGATAGAGGCCAACAAGGCAGGAAGAAGGGTCAAAGAACACACTGGCAGTGTGTGGTTCCAAGAGAGGCACAGTGCCTGCTGGAGTGTTGTGGGCTGTTCGAGGGTTGTTGAGTCAATAGAAGGAGGATAGGGGGGCACTGGAAGTGGGTTGGTGCCAGGGGCAGGAGGGAGATCCTGTTGGTGTTGGAGTGTTGTTGTAGGGTTGGGATGTAGCATGGTGATGGTGTGTTTAGGATAGAGGCGTGCCTGTGTTCAAGGGTGAGAACAAGGCATCCTCCCTGATAGGGAGGGTGTGATTCGGAAGGGTGTGATCCTCCAGATGGCTGTCATACTCTAGGAGCGTTGGCTGATCATCTGGGGGTGGTTTTGTGAAGTCTGGGAGGATGGTGGATGTGGTTGTTGGGTAAGTGTGGGAGTGGGAATTCGGGAGACTTGGGTTTGAGTGAAGATAGTGGTAGAGCATGGAACGTCATGGGTGTGGTAGGTGGGTTGGTGGGATAGGTGTGTATCCTGGAGTGTTGACCGTAGGTGTCGTTTCCTTCAACGCAAGCAATGGGGTTGCTTGTGAGGTGGGAGATGATTGATGTAGGAGTGTGTATTCAAGGGCATGCACTGAGGCACTGGTAATAAGGTTTATAATCAAGTTGTATGGTTGTTGTTGCACTGGATAAAACGTGGCTCAAGTCTGGTGCAGGTAACACTACCTGCAGGAGAGATGTTTCAGAGCCAAAGGCTGTTTAGGGATTTTTCAGGGAAGAACTGGAGAAGTCACGCTATAGCCAAATAGAGGCCAGTGGTGGGGGAATCAAGGGGTGTTGTTGGTGATGGGGCTGTGTACTGGTTGACACTGTGTTGTCTCAAAGGCTGTACCGAATTGTGTAGGCGACTCACAGACTATGCAACAGAGAGTCAGACCAAGATTGTAGGAAAGGTACTCGATTCCAGGTGGAACTGGTGAAAGTCACTGGAGAGTCCATCAACAAGCATGAGAGAGAAGATTAGAGTCCAGTTTGTTATTAAATATCTATGCCTCCAGGCTGCAAGTTCTGTCTGGGGTCAATCCTTGGAGTTCCTGAGCTCCAGTGTGGTAGAGTAGGGTGCAGTAGCAGAGAGGTGGCTGTGTCAATGGGGTGTTGCACAATCTATATGTGGTTCTAGAGGGGCAACTTTTTGGTTGGTTCTTGTGGGGGTAGGATTCTTTGGAGAGGAGCTGGGTACCTCAGGGCTTGAAACTATGCAAAGTTCAGCCAGCCCTGGAGATAACAAGACTCAAGGCTTACAGGAAACTCTTTGTTGTGTTGTTGTTCCTCTTGGGGAGGATTTAGATATCAATGGAGGGTGGTAACATCAGGTGTCGATCAGTCAATCAGTGTGTATAGGGATAGGACTTGTGGATCGTTCAAAAGAAGGAGGAGCGACAATGGGTTTTCTTCGGCCGTCAGGAACTTAGTTCAGAAAACAACATATACCGTATGGGAGTTGTTTTCTGTACTTTGCTGTGGAAGGCCGGAGATTTCTTCTTGTGGTCAATTTCTTAAGGAATCAATTTCCAACAAGGACGTCGGGGGAAACCAAGATTGGCCGGTGAGAAAGTAAGAAAAACAGCTGTGTTTCTGTTCTGGACGGTAACTGCAGGTATCTGGTGAAGTCCTTCTTGATTATAGTAGGCTGCGTACGGAGGACGAGGTGCGTATCGGAGGAAGAGGTACGTTCGCGGGAAGAACGATCGATTCACGGATCAGTGAGTCTTGTTGAATCGATTCGTATCAAAAACCATTAGATTCAGAGGATCATTTGAAAAACCAGCACCGTTGCCTTAGGGGTAAGGTTAACCGAGCGTGTTGTTGTTGCGGAAGATTCAATCGTACGAAAAAGAGGATCGACAATGGATTTCTTGGGCCGTCGGCAGTGAGAGAACAGCAAGTAAAAAATGAGTATGTGTTTCTATGCTCGTCTGGTAACGGAGAGACCGGAGACTTCTTCTTGTGTTTAATTTCTTCCAACTTGGCAGTCGGCGGTTGAGAATAGAAAAACCGCCCGATCTCGTAGGATTTCAATGGGATGGCTTTCTAATACTGGGCCGGAGAAAACGGACCGCGAACACAGTTGATAGTCGCTTGGTATCAGAGGTGCAGGAGATAGAAGTATCGATCCTGTCGGTCCTTTCGGCTTGAATAGAGTGGAGCGAGTGAGGAAAAGGGAGTGTGTATCCTGTGATGACGTTGAGAGGATTCCTATAGTAAAACAATACTCTTCAACAAGATAACGGATAACAGGCTTCCTGAGTTCCTTTCTCTTCGTTTCAATTCTTCTGATGGTGCTAAT